GAGAGCAGACAGAGGAAGCAGAGCAAGTGGCAGTTTCTTAAGACACACACAGACATGAATAAAAAACCTTTTTCAAAGGGGCTAGAAAGATGGCTCAGCAGTTAAGGGTACTGGCTGAGGACCCCTGTTTACTTTGCAGCACCCACAGGCTAACAACTTCGTAATTCCAGTTCCAGAGGATCCAGTGCCTTCTGGCCTCTGCAGGCGTTATACCAACATGATGAACTTACATACATGCAGGCAGAATGCTCATACACTTAAAAATAATTAAGAAAAATATTAACGATCTTTTTAAAGAAAAATATATGTAGGCATGCAGGCGCATGTCCCAGGGACTTCTGTGTGGACATCAGGGGGCAACTTTTTGAATCAATTCTCTCCTAACTACGTGGGTTCCAGGAATCAAACTTGGCTGTCAGGTTTGTGCGGCAAGGTTTTTACACTGAGCCCTTACTGGCTCTTAATGATTTAAAATATTTTAAATTGTGTGTGTGTGTGTGGTATGAGGTATGTGCATATGAGTGCAAGTGTCCAAGGAAGCTGGAGGCCAGAGGCACTGGTTTCCCTGGCGATGGTCACAGGTAGGTGCTGGGAACCAAATGAGTGCTACAGAAGCAGCACCTGCTCTTAGCCGCCGAGCCACCTCTCCAGCCCCCTCCCCCATTACTTTGTTATTATTTTGTTTTCTTTGTAGCCCTAGCTGGCCTGGAACTCACCATGTAGACCAGGCTGATCTCACAGAGATCTGTCTGCCTCTCTCTCCTGAGTGCTGGGATTAAATGCATGCATCACCAAACCTGGCTCCTCAATGATCTTTTTGAAGAGTTATTTATAATAAACTTTTAAAAAACATGATCCTAGGTTTGTTGCAGAGTGGAGCAGTCAGTAACAGAGTTCCCATATACCACATGTGCACACCTCCCCACAATGGCATTCCACATCTGAGGGTCTTTTGTTACAGTCAATGTCCATTAATGTATTACCAATATTTTTGTGCTAAGTAAAAATGCAATTTCATGAAAAAGATAATTTAGCTTGTAGTCAATCAGAATGCAGAGATCTCAACACACTGATTGCATATTCTCCAGGGGTTGACCCTGAAGTGAGGTTGGTGGATCTGTGGTACTCTTCAGTTTCCCGAGGTTCTCTTTTTCATGATGGCCGCACTGATGACATTAGAGTGTGCAGAAGTTTCTCCAGAGTCTTGTGAAGCTTCATACTGTTTCTTTGATAATAACCATGCTAACAGGTGTGAAGTGGCATCTTGTGTCTTTGATTTGCATTTCTCTCATGACCAGTTGTGTGTGGCAGGTTTTGTGTGTGGCAGGTTTTTCATGTACATTTTGGTCACTGGTATGCTGTCTTTAGAAAAACGTTTGTTCAAGGATTAAGTTTTTTATTGAGTTCCTTATGTATTTTTAGTATTTAATCTCGTATCACATGCATTATTTGTACTCTTATTTTGTGGCATAATGTTATTTTGGATCTTGGTGCTCTTTTGATATAGGCACTACTGGGACACTCCCCTCTTAACACAACTTGCTTCTGCTTGCTGCATATAATTTAGGTCCATTTGGTCTACTGTGAAGTTCAAGTCCTGTATTTTCCTGTTGATTTTCTGAACGATCTGCTGTTGTTCAAGGTATGATATTGAGGTTTTCTACCATTATGGCATTACAATACATTCAGGTGTTTTATATATGCATATACATATATAAATATATATATGTAAAATTGTATCACCTTTCTAAACTGACCCTGTTAATGGCCTGTTTTTCAGTTTTTAACTTAATTTGATTCATTTAGCTTTTTCTGCTCTCTTTTGGTTTCTATTTGCATATGGGAGTATCTTTTCCAACCTTTCACTTCCAAACTTTGTCTTTAAAAGTGCAGCTAAGTGTCTTCTTTTTATTTCTTTTTGAGGCAGGGGTCTCCCTGTAGCCCAGCTGGCCTGGAACTTGCTATGTAGACCAGGGTGGCCTGGATCTCTGTGGGTCCACCAGCCTCAGCCTCCTGAGTGCTGGGATTAAAGGTGTGTGCCACCATGCTTCACTCATCAGTTTCTTATTGGTAGCATGGAGTTTTTGTTTTGTTTTTTTTTAGCTCATTCAACTTTGAGAGTATGTTTATGTATGTATGTGCATGTGTGGCAATTATTTGTCTGTGCTCACCCATGCATGTATGTATATGTGGAGGCCAGAGGTTCAGGATGTGTATTGTCTTTTTGAGACAGGGTCTCCCTGTAGCCCCAGCTGTCCTGGAACTCACTATGTAGACCAGGCTGGCCTTGAACTCACAAGTGCTGGGCGTGTGTGCCACCATGCCCAGCCCAGGATCTATTTTTTTTAAAGATTAATTTTAAAGTGTGTGTGTTTGGCAGGGGGGTAAGACCAGAAGAGAGTGTTGAATTCCTTGGAAGCTGAAGTTTCAGGTGGTCATGACCAAACCCTGAGATGATGAACCCCAACCACTTTATTTTTTGACAGGGTCTCCCACTGAACCTGGAGCTTACCTTTTTGGCTAGACCGGCAGGCACTGAGGTGGTGGGTGTACACTGCTGCTCCCGGCTTCCGTGGGGCTGTGGAGGAGTTGAACTCAGGCCCACAGGTCCTTATGCTCCCATAGCACTTGGCCCACTGAGCCATCTTCCTAGGAATTCAGTGTTTTAACTGGAGGTTGTAGTTCATTTTTGTGTTTTTTGAGACAGGATCTCCATGTAGCCCCAGCTAGTCCAGAACCCGCTATGTACACCGGGCTGACCTCCGTCTCATGGAGATCCACCTGCCTCTGCCTCCCAAGTGCTGGGATGCCTGCACCACCTGACTGGCTTTAGCTCATTTATACTTAAATTTTTATTTTTTATCTTTTAAAAATTTTATTTATTTAGGTTGTTTGAGACAGGGTCTCCCTGTAGCTCCAGCTGGCTGGGAACTCACTATGGTGACCAGGCTGGCCTTGAGCTCACAAAGATCCACCTGCCTCTGACTCTTAAGTGCTTGGATTAAAAGTGTGCACCACCACACCGTTTTAATTTTATTATTTTTATGTGTACACGTGTATTGCCTGCATGTAGGTAAGTGCACTCATGTCATGCAATACCCGCGGAGGACAGAAGAGGCTGTCGGATCCCCTGGAACTGGACTTATGGACAGTTGTTAGCTGCCCTGTGGTGTGGGTGCTGGCATTCGAACCCAGGTCTTCTGTAAGAGCAGTGTTCTTAACCATCTCTCTGGCCCCTATACTTAAAATTTTTAATATACTTAAAATTGAGCACCCTTACTCTGAACACCTGAAATGCTTTAAAATATGAAACTCCCAAGAGTTTATCTGATGACACAAGTATTAATTTCAATTTCCTTATCTGACCTCATGTGATGTTGCCATCAAAAATGCAGGCACACTAAAAATACCATATAGTTACATTTAGGCTAATATATAAGGTATCCAAAAAGCACACGTGAACTGTTGTTTAGATGAGTTCTATCCCAAAGATACTTTATTACATACACGAAAATATTCTAATGTCTAAAAGCTGAAGCACTTCTGTTCGCAAAAATATTCCAGGGGTTTTTGTTTTTGTCTTTTTGAGACAGGGTCTCTAGCCCCATCTGGCCTAGAAGCCACAGAGAGCCATTTGCCTCTGCTGGGATGAGATTAAAGGCATGCGCCACCAGGCCTGGCTCAGATCTTGTTTCTTGTTATGATTAGGTGATTTCTGTAGTAGACATGTTTTTTTTTCTGACACGCCTTGCTTGGTGGTTATTTTTGAGCTACTAATTCGTTATATGACAGCTGTGCTTTTACTGCACCCACTTCCATTTTGTTTACATCCTTTGTCCTTTCAGATTGGTGCAGCAGTCATCTGCTACACTAAACACTGAAACACTGTGAATTCAGCTCTTTACTGTTGCCCATGAGCTTCAGATCTGAATCCACCTGCTGTCATTTTCTTTAGCTTTTGAAAAGCTCCCTCCTTTAACGTTTCTCATAAGGTAAGTGCGGTGGTAGCAAACAGTGCCTGAGCTTTCATTTCGGCGAGTTTTTTCCAGTTCGTATCCGAAGGGCAGCTTTACCAGGTAAGGTCTTCACTTAGCAGCCCCCCGCCCCCTTTTGATATATCATCTTACTTTAAAAAAAATATTTTATTTTTATGTTTTTCCTACCTGTAGGTAAGTGCACCTGTGTCATGCAATGCCCATGGAGGACAGAAGAGGCTGTTGGATCCCCTGGAACTGGAGTTACAGTTGTTAGCTGCCATGTGGGTGCTGGGATTCGAACCCAGGTCTTCTGCAAGCACAGCCAGTGTTCTTAACCACTGAGCCATCTCTCCAGTCCCATCTTACTCTTTTTTAGCCCATCCGGTTTCTAGTGATGGCAAAACTGGAGTTCTCATGTATAATTATGCATCACTTTCTTGTCACATTCAGGATGCTGTTAGTGTTTGGCAATTCGTAATGTCTTGGTGTGTGGCACATGTCACAAAGCAGTGGTCTAAGTCTCAATGACAGCTGAACTCGTACTTGGAAGGTGAACATAAGGCTGTAGGGTCTATGGTACAAACTAGCTTGCTCTGAGAATGTCTCCCATGTCTGAGGTACAGGTAGGTATATTACAGCCTCAGAGGTTAAGTTTGGAGTTGTGTGCATTTGGATAGAGGCCATGGTTTGGGGGTTTAGGGTTACATGCAGGGTTGGAGAGATGGCACCGCTGGCTCCTGGAATAAGTAGTATTTGTGAGGTGGTAGTTGTAGCACTCTGTCCCTGGTGGAAATGATTGTTAGTCTGTTACAAAAGATGCTAAAAAACTTGAGATTACTGAAGGAATTGGTGAATTCAAAGCTGCAAAAATTCCAAAGCCTACGTACATTTTTGTTGTGAAGCTGAACTATCCAAAGATCTGGCTCTGGTAAGAAAGCAGGCCTTTAGTTTCCACTCAACTGTTTATATGTACTAGAGAGATAAACGTGGACATCCTATGTGCAATCAAAAAAGCACTAGACATTTTAAACGGAGAACCAATTTTATTCTAAAAGCAGAGTTCCATAACAAATATCAAAAGCTGGCTGTTATAGTAGAAAAAAAGGGCAACAGGAGTTTGCATTAATTTTTTTCTGAAGATACAAAATTATACCATAATATGTGTTTCCAACTCTCATTTGTCTACATTTGAATAATCCACAAGAGGAATAATCCAAGTGAACTGTAAAATCATAGAGTGGTGTCTGCCTGATGTTCACATGTATATATGGATTGTTTATCTTCAAATACATACACTCTCCAGGAATGCGAGGAAAGTCCAGCTGAAGCCTGTCTAGGAAGACAAACTTGGCTTAGGAAATGTGTTCCCAAGTCCTCACTGTTTTGCATAATTCTTTAATTTTTGTAACTAAAAAAAAAAAACCTTCACTGAAAGTACGAGTATTTGAAAGTAACAAATGAGAAAAGATAAAACTACATGAACCCAAAAATCAGAGGAAACTTAAAATGACAGTCCTTTTAAAAAGTGGTTTTCTATTTTCAAAGTGCTAAAGAAACAAATACTCAAGACAAACTGCAGGCTGGTACTAAAGTACCAAGAACGTACCAAGCACCCTAAAAGGCACCCACCACCACAAGTCTGCCTTGGACACATTCCGTCCGCAGTGTTGCACGACCAGTTAAAGCCACACCAGCAGCACACGGCTCCCACCTGGCCCCATTCAGACAGCTCTACCCTAACGCTTCGTAGCATCCCTCGACTCCGTGCTACCCTAGAGCCGAGCACTCCACATTTCACACTGACTGGCCCTAATGCACAGCAAGTAGAAATGATTCTTGTACATCAAAATTCTTGATACCCTGCATTTTCTACAAACCAAAAGCTAATTATAAAAGCTACTTATCTACAAAATGGAGGTGCATGCTGATCAGGGCATTTCTGGTTCATTTTTATCCTTTTCAAAACTAGTATGATTTACTTTGGCCCTCTAAGAAAAATATTACCTTAGTATTAAGTGACTAAACACCTCTTTTGTTAAAACTTGACCCTGAGTTTGAGTGCTGGAATATAAACTCTAAAACTCGTCCAGAGGCTGCTGGCAACCACTGGAGCGTCTCTAAAGACACTGTGCTTGTTCTTAAAACTAGTGCATCTAAAGGCAACCCCTGTCAGTGTGGAGTAAGGGGTAGGCTAGGGGAACGAGGAAGCCAGAAATTTCCCGACTAAAATAAGAATTTACTCCAAAATACATTTTTAAAAAAATATAAAAATGTCATTTCCCCAGATCTCTGAGTAAAGTTGACAGTGTACAAAAATACAACATTTCCAGCCTGCAGGGTTAGTGGCCCAGGGAGCACTGCAATCCCTGGCTTAGCAACATGGCATCAAGCTATAGTTTTGACAGTACAGACTTCTAAATACTGATTTGGAAATCATATAATGGGGCTTTAAAAAGATATTTTTACATTCCATTACAAATTTCTAGATATGGAAAGCAGCTCTACATTTCTTGAAAATTCACTGAATATAAAACTAAAATTGACAAATGAGTACGAAGCAATCAGTTTCCAGTGGTGACAGTCTTTCACAGTAGCAGATACTCTGCTAGTTTCTACCTATAGTACCAGTCTTACAATTGAGCCTTTTTAAAAAATAACACATTAATATACAGAGAAAAAACATTGACAGCTTAAGTTATTAGTTCAGCACACACTCTCCAGTGAGCTAGTGGGTCTGTAATACAGAGAAGCACAAAGGTACTTCAGGGCTGTATTTGAAGATCATTTTATTTTTTGGAGTGCACGTTCTATTTCTAGAGCAACTATTTAAAACAAAATGCTGATGCTTTCTGAAATTGTGCTTTAGACAGAGTTTAAGTCAATTGTACACTTTCTGCTGCGTGACATTAGTGATTAGGATACAGTTAGCTTTGAAAAGCACTCAATAACAGCACTGCAAGTCCCGAGTGCTGTGACAAGCTCCTTACCTGCACTTCAGTGATGGTGCCTTTCATTTCTGGTCCTATGTGACCAATGCCACACAGACACACTCACAAGAAATAGGGCTTGTCTTGTGGTGAGCACTTACTAAAAATAAATACAGTCATTGGATAAATTGCCTATCAGATCCAAATATTTAAATACCCAGACTACGCCCTTGTTAACAACCTTTAGTTAGGAGGAACTGATGTATTCATATAAATTGCTCATTTTATGCACAGCTTCCTTATGCTATTTCCAAGAAAATAATGTTTTAAACTAATAATAAACCAAATTGAGAGAGCTGTAGTTTTCTTGATCACTGGATTTCTTTAAATGATGGCATCGTGTTCATCACTGTAATATATAAAAAGTTAAAATTATTGGAAAAGCATTATTTGTAAGGAAGGTAACAAGAATTTCAATCTTTACAATCAAAATTGTCATTGCTCTGCATAAAGTTTTATGTACATCCAGGATACTGTAGTGGTGAAGGCTGTCAAACAGGCCTATACTCAAATCTTAGCTACCATAACTTCCTTTAAACTATTTTTTTTTCTTTTAAAAGATTTATGTATTACATGTATGTGATGTGCTCTGTGCAGTGCCCATACAGGCCAGAAGAGGGCATCAGATCCCCTGGAACTGCAGTTACAGGCAGGTATGTGCTGCCATGTGGGTGCTGGGAACCAAACCTGGGTCCTCTCAAGCAGCATGTGCTCTTGACATTGGAGCCATCTCTCCACCCCCTAGTCTAGCCCTCTTTAAAATCGCCATGTCAGGTGTGTTACACACGTTACATACATATCAGTAAGTCTTAAGTAATCACCATCTCATTTTGCAGAGGACTAAAAGATGAACTATTTTTTTAAGGGGGCATTTTTGAGACAAAGTGTAGCCCAAGCTGGCCTTAAAACTCATGGCAGTCCTGCCTCAACAGTGCTGGGATTACAGGCATGTACCAGCTATTTCAGAGTGTGAGCTTTTGACCACATACACACTGTCACCTTTTTTTGTGTAAGCCTAGGAAAGCACCTTGCTAGTCAACAGCAGAACCAGACCCAAAACTAAGTTAGGCTGGGGAAGACAGGGACATGGGTTTGCGCTCAGTGGGTATCAAGTGTCCATTACGCAGGATGGTGAAACCCTCTCTACAGCAGTATGCAGTATGCCACAGGAACTGAAAAGCGTGTTGGCATAGTTCTCCCACGTTCAAGTTCCTATCACAATTTAAAAAATGAAACGCCCACAGTTTGTCTACTGTTAAGTCCTATTTCCACTCTCCATAACTCTAACACAGGGAACTAAAATTTTAAATTATGAAAAAAATTGGAAATGCTCATTAAATTAGATCTTTTGTGAGTCAAAAATCCTTAGTTGTGGAATGACATGAGTTTTCATAGCATCAAGGAACTACTGGCTTCCAAATTAACTTTTTAAAAAATATATTTTTATGTGTATCAGATATTGCCTATATGTAGGTAGGTGCACTCGTGTCATGCAATGCCTGCAAGATGGCGTTGGATTCCCTGGAACTGGAGTTAGGGATGGTTGTTAACTGCCTTGTGGGTGCTAGAACTCAAACCCAGGTCCTCTGCAAGAGCAGCCAGTGCTCTTAACTGCTAAGCCATCTCTCCAGCCCCTCAAACTTCTAAAAAATGTAGTGCTAATTAAATAATAGTTAAATTTACAACACAGAGCTTCCTCATCCAATAGATTGTAAGCTGTACTATATTAAAATGTAGAAAAGTAAAAAATGGAGCTTCACAGACTTGGTAAATGCAGTTTTTTTTAAAAAAAATTTTTATTGTTTTTATTTTATGTGTATGTGTGTGTAGGTTAAGTGCACCCGTGTCGTGCAATGCCCATGGAAGACAGAAGAGGCTGTCGGATACCCTGGAACTGGAGTTATGGACAGTTGTTAGCTGCCATGTGGGTGCTGGGATTCAAACGGATGGGTCTTCTGCAAGAACAGTGTTCTACTGCTGAGCCATCTCTCCAGCCCCCATACTTGCTATTTTTAATGAGACGCACTGAGCTCTGTGTGGAAGTAAGAGCAGCAGCTCAGAGCCAGCTACCAGCACAGCCCTGCCAGCACAGGGATCCAGGCTCTGGCTTCTCTCACAGGGCATATACTATTATCTGGTCATGTATATGTGAAGGAAAAACTTAGCCCATAAAAGCTAAAATTATGAACTTAGTTTAAAAATGAAAAAAAAAAATTTAAATCTACTTTCATTATTGAAAGCCATACCACTATGTATCAATATAAAAATGAATGGCATTAAAGAAGTAAATTAACTTAAAACAGTGTACACCTACTGCTTAAATAGTGAAAGCTACCAGTTAAAATAAAAAATGGTGGCTTTAAAATAATTCAAGCTGAGGGGTACATGCCTTTAGTCACGAGGCAGACGCAGGAAGATCTCTGAGTTTGAGGACAGTCTGGTCTACATGGCGAGTTCCAGACCAGCTGGGGCTACAGGGTGACCTTGTCAAAAAATGTAAAGCTTTTTCTTTTTTTTTGAAATAGGGTCTCCCTATAGTCCCAGCTGGCCTGGAACTCACCATGTAGACCAGGCTGGCCTTGAACTCACAGAGTTCCGCATGCCTCTGCCTCCCTGAGTGCTTGGCTTAAAGGCATATGCCACCATGCCCGGCAAATTTTAAAACATTTTTACACCAATTTTATTCAGTGGACCTTGCACTAGCTGGTTTGGAACTCACTATATAGTAGCCACTTACCTCTTCTCCTGAGAGCACAGGTATGGACCACCATACCTGACTTATGAAATATATTATTTACAGTAACTACTATTAGCTGGAAAAAAAAAATCAGGCTGTCAGAGGAATTTTTTTCATGTCTGACTTTGTCTTAAAAAGCAAAAAGTAGGTTTTACCAAGAACACTCTTTAGAACCAGCTAACATGCACAGTACCTATGTACTGGGGTCAATAGGCTAAGCCCTGGTATGTTACTTCTGATGATTAGTGGTAAAGCCAGTAAAGCATGTGCTGAACTTTGGTAAAGCAACACTTGAGCCCAGGTGGAATGCAAGCATGCGAACAGGCGTGTCTGCTCACTCTCACATGCAAACATAACCCCAAATCGCACATAAGCATAACACAAAGTCTGCCGAGCTCAACCCCGGCCTGACTCTGGTAACTGGTCTGGATAAAGACACACAGGAACGGCCAAACTTACATGCTGCGATACCGAATGCCTCTTCTTGAGTAATACACTCTGCATCCAATGTAGAAAATAGATAATGCTCCCAGTGTCAACACAATGCCGCCCACAAAGCTGCCAGCGTCAAATTTTGGTCCTTTACTTTCCTTAGAATGAATAGTTGCTGTGACTAGGAGAGAACGAGCTTGGGTTAGCTTTGTCTACTTGAAACGTTTTTCATTTTGAACTCTGAATTTGTACTTAATACTTGAGTGAGGGTGAAGAGAAATTCAGGCACAGATGTTTCTGTATTTTTGCAGAATGCTAACAGATGTGGCATTTTACATACTAATTTACAGCACAGAAAAAGTCAGTTACTTTAATACATACTTGCTGAAGATGTCAGTAAAGTATTGTGGGCTGTGGTCATTGCTGATGTTGATGTCTGCATTGTGTTTGGCAGAACACTTGCTGCTTTGGGTGTAGATTTTAAGGCAGTGGAAGTCACATTTGGTGAGCCCCGTGGTGTCGACATTTTAGCAATAGTTGCAGGTTTCATAGTGACACTGCTTGACACAGTGACAGTGACATTGCTTGAAACTGAAGTTGTTGATGGCTTCGAAGTACTGTTCAATTCACCTGTGTGGTTGGATACCACATGTTCGATGACAGGCTCTGAAAAAAACATGCCAAGAAACAATTAGTTTCCAATCTAGGGCAAAGACCCTGCTAACCTGTTACTTTTCACGATCACCAAGAGCAGGCAGCAAGTCCGTCAACAAAAGCAGGGCACAGTCAATGCAGGGAGTTTTGCATAGGGTTGAGTTCTTTCAACAAGGAGAGCCTTCACTATCTCTGAGGTGTCGCATGGCACTCAGATGCAATCACATAGGATTTCAACTAGTATTCTCTTTGGTCAGGGTCCTTGTATGCAGCCCAGGCTGGCCTCAGAATTATGGTAGTCACTACTCTGAAGCCTACCTGAGTACTGAGATTACAGGTGTGTACCACCATGACCCACAACACATTATCTCTTGTCTAAAGGAATAAACAATGAATGTAAAGAGTTTGACGTTCAAGCTTCTCCGCCACATTCTCTCAAGAACTTGGGAGGACAAGAGGCAGGCTCCAAGCCCCAGGAGGATATGGACAAGGGTGAGCTACTCTTTATAAGGGTAAAAGACAACTTCCTGGGATGAGTAAGCTAACGAAAGGCCATGAAATCAAAGAGTTAGGTGGAAATTTCATGCTGGTCATAACTGTCCATAGCTGGAAGGATGTTTCTGAATGTCTCAACTCAAGCCAGTTTTAATGGGAGTCATCAATGAGGTTCACAGCACCAACCCCTCAGCTCTTATTGTTTGGTGTGAAATACTATGTGCACAAAAAAGAGGCAGATTGTCAACACTCCTAAAATAAAACCCCTAACGTTCATTCACTAAAGGCTTCCCTTGGGGAACATAAAATATTCCATATGACCAAAAGCAAATGTCCATGTTTATGATTCATAACCTATTTGCTTTGAAATTCTATAACTGTTCCAGCTCCAGCTACTTAGGTTATTCTATCCTCCAAGAATCTAGGGAGCCAAACTTTTAATGCATCTTTGAGCCTTCGATATGAGATGACTATTTCTCTCTTCACTTCGATGTGAGATGACTTCTCAGTTTCTGTCTCCGAGTTAACTGCCAGCTGTACTTAGCTCCAGGGTTGCCTATATACTCCCATTTTATTCCTATGTCTAAATAGTAAAGGGGTTTAATGTTAACCACTGGCTGCCTTAAAAACAGCACACCAGACTACCCTCTCCCTGCACAAGATGACATTCTTTAGACTGTAGACAGTCACATGAGCAAAAACGGGAAGGTATTAATATATTAGATCTCTACTCAAAAAATCCAGTGTACCACACAGACAACTAAGTAACTGAAAATTACCAAAAATTGCCAAACACTCCAAAGAAGTTCTGAAGCCAGGAGGAGGCTTGCCTGGTTCCTGCGGCTCAGCTCCTTGCTCCACTGTCTCTGAAGCTGGGGCCGTGTGGCATGCCACGGGAAGGTGTCCACTCCCACCTCTGGTCCACGGAGAGGAAGAGAATGCTACTTCCCAGCTTGAAGGAACTACCCAAAAAGCCCACCAGCGCCTTCTGCACTGAGAAAGGGCTGGGGCCGGGACCAGGAGCCAAGCCTACAGGAGAGGCTGGCCCACTTCCATTTACCTGTCGTAGTTTAGGTGGCTACTTTTGCTGGCAACAGTGAAGGTTTGATTTTGTTTAATAGTCATGTGAGCCAATCAGACACCAGGAAAGCTGGTGGCTTCCCAGGAGCTTATACCCAAGAAGTAGAGAGAGCAAGCAAGAGGGAGCCCAACAGGCGGGGCGCTGAGGATACAAGGAGTGGGTCTGCCAGAGCCTCCCACAGAGAACTCAGGAGAGTGCTGACCACCGAGCAGCTAACTGGCTTTTCCCCTTAAGCCCTCTGGGACTCATGTCTGTATTCCAAAGACAAAGCTATGGTCATGGAACCTCTTTGATTAAACCTCTTTTCATCATTACATTACTTTAAGTGGTGTACAGGATGGTGGCCAAAGCTAGCCCTTTGGAACTCCCAGGGCAGGAGCTTCTGCCCTAAAACTCTGCTCACACCTGTCTGCCAAGAAACCCTGATGATTACCAGCAAGACTATCACAGAGCCATGGAAGGTTCTCTCCCAGGCTCAGAAAGAAGCAGACCTACTGACAACCTCACCTTCTCTCATGCTGCAGTCCTAGCAAGCCAGTGTGCTGGGCCTCAGGGCTTCATTCACTGGCACAAAGCTGTCTCTGCAGCTGTGCAACTGGTGCTGGCCACCGCCTAAGCTGGTTGCTTTACAGATCTCTGAAACTAATTACAGGGAGATTAACTAAGTCAGTAAATACTTGTCAAATCAGCCCTGAAACTTGTTTAAAAAAGTGTGATCACCTCCAGACTTCAGTCAGATGCAAGGTCTTCGTGATCTTGGCTCCTGCTTTCTCTCATCTGACATTACAAGAAAAAGACGAAGGGCTCCACACACCCTCCTCCCCAGCAGTTGCACATGCTGGGGACATGGTCTTGGTTCCCATCCCTCCCCCTCGAATCCAGTTAGTCTCTGATAAATCTGAGCCTCCATTTCTTGAGCCGTCTCCTCTACCACAGCTGGATGTGTTTCTAGCCACTGGGGGTAGAGCTCAAACTGAGATCATCCACTTCCCTCCCTGCTGGGACAGCTCAGAAAAGTTACCATCCTTCTGCATATATAAAGTAGTGGTACAGCAGGGCTGGAGGCATTAACAGAGATAACGTATTTTCTGGCACTCAGCACAGGGCGGGCTATAGCAGGGGTACTCAGTGGCATTTATCTAAATCATTAGTTTCATTAACTCAACTCCCCTGTGACAGAGCTGCACTGTAAAGCTCTCTGAGGAGTAGAACAGGCACAGTCATGTCTCCCACTTCCCAGCCTAGGACAAGTGATTGGACATTTCAGTTCATGATGCAACTAGCTAAAAAGAAAGTGGAGTCTCTTACCACTTGCTGCAGCTTTCTAACAAGGTTGATCACAGACTGAAGCAGTCTCCTCACCCCACCCTGAACCACAGAAAGGTCCTCATCAACATCTGGGTTTATTCCAACTATCTCAGTGCAGGACAACTGTGGCACTGAGACAACTTTCCTTAGTCCCACAACCTTCGGTCCTCAAATACCTGTCACCCCTACAACCTAATATTCAAAGTTGAGGGTGACAACGTGTTTCCCTCAGGGCATCAAATACACAAATTCACTCCAATTGTAAAAACTCTGGGTTATTTTTAAATGTTGGTAGCAGCTTTCCATTCCCATTACAGCTGTAAAAACACAGCTACTTCAGACACGACCATACACTTCTGGTGCCAGTGTTTTATTCTAAGCACAGTTTGTATCTTGAATAAATTACAGCATCAGATCCCTGGATTTTTTTAAACTATGAAGACCCTGAGATTCTCTCTTCTGGAATGACGTCTTCTGTCTTACTCACCAACCAAAGTCAGTGGGATCCCAGAACTACTGAAATTTAAAAGCAGAGGAGAAACCTTCTTACTAGCCACGTGTGGTGGCCCACACCTTTAATCCCAGCACTTGGGAGGCAGAGGCAGGTAGATTTCTGAGTTCCAGGCCAGCCTGGTCTATATAGTGATTTCTAGACCAGCTGGGGCTACAGGGAGACCCGGTCTCAAAAGACAAAAAAAAAGCCTTTTTACTACAGAGTCAACTAACTGGCTTATTTTGAAACTTCTAAATTCAAACTGCTTGAGTTTTGTGTGTATGAGTGTTAATGCTTGTATGTATGTAAATGCACCTGGTGACTTGCTAGTGCCTCCAGAGGTCAGAAAAGAGTGTCAGATCCCCTGGAACAGAGTCATGGACAGCTATTTAGCCGCCATGTGGGTCCTCTGCAAGAGCAGGCAGTGCTCTTAACTGGCCATCTCTCTAGCTCCTCAAACTGCTTGAATTTAAACATAACTGAAATCTAGTTTTTTGTTTTTTTTAAAGCTAAAACAAAAACCTAGAAAAATCTATACAAAAAATTAGTCTAGGTGGAAACCTGGCCTTTTAGGAAGGAAATGTTTATTTTCTGAATATCAAATATATCATGATTTAATCCATCTACAGGATTCCATTACTATAAACAGGATGTTTGCTTCTCTGATAAGAACTGAAAGAGAAGCATTTTCAGTCAAAGCAATTCCTAAAGATCCTGAGAGCTAGAACGTGATTTGTCAGGCCTGCTAAGGAATTTGGTCTGAGACCTCTGCCCTTTGGTAGGATAAGGCTGAGACCTTAACAGACAGCCTATTCCAACCTCCATTGGTGTAGTCGCTGAGATCTCAGCAGATCAGAGTGCCTGTTCTGGCCTCCCTCTGGCATAGGGGCCGAGAACTTGCCCTGAGAGCACCTGGATCCTGCCTCTATGTGGTGGTAAGCATCCCCAAAATGCGCTGTACCCAACCCCCTAATTGGGATTAACTGAGGCCCCTTCCCAAGGCCCCTGGGCAGACCTCTGCCCTTTGGTAGGATAACGCTGAGACCTTAGCAGACAGCCTGAGAGGGCCTGTTCTGACCTCCATTGGTGAAGCGGCTGACATCTTGGCAGATCAGAGAGTGCCTGTTCTGGCCTGCCTCTGGCATAGGGGCTGAGAACTCAGCGGACTGTTTGAGAGTCCCCAAATCAGCTCCCCCTTAGGGAACTTCCCAAATTTTGCTTTGAGTTCCTGCTAGTAGGGGTCCAAACCTCAGAAGGAAGCCTGAGTGTACCTGACTGGAACCTGACTTGGGCTTCTCTGTGAGCTCCTGAATAGCTGATCTGAAGCCTGATCAGTTCCCTCCAAAATAAAACCTGGACCAACCGGCTTTATATAACCAATAAGAAAACCACCAAGGCACACCAATAATACAAACAGGAACAAACTTCAACTTAATTTTCATATCAGAATCACAAACAACAAAAGAAATTTCACGTGCCAAAATCACAAGAATAAAATGGAAAGCCAAAACTATGTCCCCACCAGTCCTGTAGAAGAGTTCTACGAGGAGAACTCCCTAGAGATAACCCAGGTCACAGAATTTAAAAGAACAATCGTAAACATGATCAAGGAATTCAATGAATTTAAAGGAATTT